AAATGAAAAGACTAATTTGAAAAGATACATGCATTCCTATGTTCACTGCAGCGTTATTTACAATAGCCAAGATGTGGATGTACCTAGGTGTACATCCACAGATGAATGGATGATAAGAAGATAAAGAAGAAAAATGAGAAGAGCAGTTACAAACAAAAGAGGCATCCAAAAAGCTAACAAGCATATGAAGGGATCTCAAATTATCAGAGATCAGAAAAATGCAAAATAAAACAATAACGAGCATTCCTAATTCCCACTCTCTGTCATTTTGTTATTTTCCCTACTTCTAACTTTTCCCAACCTTCACACCGTTAATTATACTGGCCTTTTGGGAGAACACTTAGTGAAGTTAATTATATTCATATTCTATGACCCAGACATTCTGCTCTTGAGTCTATACACCAAATAAATATTCACATGGTCCATAATACAATATCATTACTGTTATTTGTAGTGGGAGTCAAGGTATTCTGTATTCCAGTCAATGAATAGATAGAAAAAACATGGTAGGCGCACACCTCACAGAGCATTAGTTAGAACCCACAGACTAGAGGTACACATAGCCACCTGGGTGGATCTAAAAGTCGAGTGCTTGGTGAAAAAGATAAAAAAAACAGGATGTGAATCAAAGACTTTTAATCTCTCTCTCACACAAAACCAAAAAGAGAAAAAAAAAAGAAATATAATAAAAGAAAAGAAAAAAGTAAAAAGGGAAGAAAATTAAAAACACAAACTTTCACAGCATGACAATATAGTCTGCAAACGCAATAGAACTATACACATACAATACCGGCGGGGCTCTGTTCCATAAGTTAAAAATGGTACAAAGGCAGGCTCAAGTAAAAACAAACCATCCCTCCCATTTCCAAAAATTAAAAAATATATGCACAGAAAACAACAATACACATTATATAAGAATATGACCAAAGGGAGACACATCAAATACACCCAGGCTCATGGCAAGCAGAACTGGGGATAAAGGGAACAGCGAGTGGCTGGTCTCGTGATGATGGTGTGTCTGCCATACAATAAGAGGCAGGACTGGCACAGCTTTCTGCACTCAAGGTTCAGAGAAGAAGAAAAGAGGACAAAAACACGGTAAGAACACAAGAATAAATCTAATCAGAAAATGTATAGGGCATTTGTAAAGAAATGATAAAACTTTACTATAAGATATAGAGTTAAATGATCTCAATAAAAGAAGAGAAAACCAGTGAGTGGATAGAGAAATCTATGACTGATGGGTGTCAATTTCCCCCAAATTGACTTATACATTGACTAGGACTTCCCTCAATCCAACATAGTTTTTCATAGAACTTGACAAGCTGATTCTAAAATTCAAAGAGAAAAAAAGCCAAGGCTCTCTCACAGAAAAACAAGTTTTTATGAGGTGATGTCAAGTCATAAAACTTCAGCAATTAAGACAAAATGGTGTCTCAGAAATAGACCCACACAATGGAAATTTAAAATATGACATATTGTGGATCAGTAGGAAGTGATGAATTATTTTCAATAAATGGTTGTTGGAAAAAATGAAACAGAAAAAGCCCCAAAGCAGTTGAATCCCTACTTACAACACAGCAGCTCCCCTTCCCCAAACCCAGAAAACACTACCACCACAAATCAATTCCAAAGACTTTTAAATCTATTTGAAAAATACACAGGAAAATATCTCTATGACCCTAGGGGATAGAGAAAAATTTCTTAAGGCAGATAAAACACATCAGAAAGATGAAGAAAATGAAGAACTATAATTCATTAAAAGATACCATAAAGTGAAAAGACCACAGCTGCCATTCATATAATTAACGAAAAAAGGAGTCACCAAAAAATATTTTTAAAACTCTCAAAAATCAACAAGAAAAGTACAATCAATAGAAAAATGGACAAAATTTATAAATGAACATCAGTTGAAAAAACTCAAATGCCCAACACATACAATAAAAGTATGTTCAATTCCTGTTAGTAATTAGAGAAATTAAAACCGTGATGAGATCTCATTTTATACTTATCAGACTGTCAGCATCTAAAGGACCGAAAATATCAACTGTGGTAGACAAAGCTGGTAATAAATCAATACAGTCATTTAGGGAAATGGGTTGGTTTAGGTAATTAAGTTAAAGATGTGCTCTTTATGACCCAGCAGTTTTCTGCTGGAATATATTCTAGAGGAACTTTTATACTCCAGGAGACACACAAAAAAATGTTTATAGCAGCATTATTTATAATAACAAACCTGGACAACTCAATTGCTCATCATCAGGAGAATGGATAAACTGCCACAGTCACATAAAGAACTACAGTATAGCAGTAAAAACAAGTGAATGTGGTTATACTTCCTGAAATGGATGAATTCAAGAAACATAATGCTGAGTGACAAAGCAAATATAGAAGAAGATATACATTGTTATCATGGCAAATGTTCAAAAACAACCACAGTTAAAGTTGATTAAGTGTACATATGTATACTTACATAAAGAAGTGATAAACACAAAATTCAGGGAACAGAAAGCAAACAAAGAAGCACAGAAGGTGCTTCGGTAATACTGGTAATTGAGGAGTCCAGTGTGGATGAAACTCCTGTGTGTGGTATTGACAGAAGGTGCTTCGGTAATACTGGTAATTGAGGACCAGTGTGGATGAAACTCCTGTGTGTGGTACTGACAGAGGCTTTCCCTGGCAGGCCTCACAGGGGAAAGGCGCCCTCCCCATACCAGTCTGGGTGTATCATCTCGGAAGGAGTTGCAGGCAAGGTCCAGGCACCTGGCCAGTGATGCTCTGTCACATGTTGACATTCCTAGTCCCAGAGCCTGCATTACCTAGGTCCTCGATGTGAGGCCATGGCAGAGGGCTTCTTCAGCCCCTCTGCTGACAGCTCTTTGGAGGTAGAAGGGGAAAACCCTAAAGACATTTTTTTCTGACTCTGAATTAGTACCCAGTACTTTCCCACTCCTAGCCCTTCTCATTTGCCAGCAACCCCCTCCCCCTCAAATAGTCCCCCAAAACAACAAAACAATCCTTACAAACCTTAGGGTCCATAAAACCGCCAGTGCTTTTTGGTCAGAACGCCCTCAGGAGTGAGAGGACCCCCACCTCTGTGCTGATCCACCCGACCTTGGACCAGTGTGTGGTTCCAGGGGGAAAATGGAACGAAAGGCAAGTGGCTGGGTGGGTGGGTTGGGGGAAGGGGAGTTGGCATTTCCTTTGGTTTTAGACTCTTGCTTATACCTCTGCACCAAGTCACGAGAGGCTTAACTCTTTCAGTCTTGGCTGAGCCCACTAGCTCAGCTCAACTCCTGACAGTAACATACTTCTTACGATAGGTTGTGTAATAAAGCTACTTTGAACCTCCTCCGTAAGAACTCATAGAAAGTTAAATTCTGTGGAACTCCTATGTGGAGGACAAATAAGATCAAATCACAAAGAAGCAACTGTGTAAGTTATAGCATCAGTGCCCCAGAATACAAAAGATGAAGGAAACCGTGGGGCTATCAGAAAGGTGCTTCATTCTTTTTAAAATTGGGGTGTACAGTAGAAGGTAGGACACACAGAAATCTTTGAAAACGTAATTCATATTATAAATTTTCTTTTCTTTTGGTATGAAATTCTTTAAGTAAGACTGATTTTCTTATATTTGATTTCATACTATACTTTGGGCAATATGTGATACATTTTTAAATGTTTTTATACTGATTCTGTGGATAATGAGTTTCCGCAGTTACCACTTTATCCTTAAACTACTTTCTTCATTCAAACTACTGTATAACGTTATATTTGTCCTTAAACTACTTTTGTTAAACCTCAGGGAGTTTGTAAATCGATTTATTTTTTTACCTTAAGCACGTGGGCTGCTTCTTTCTCCTCCTGGTCGATGTCCTTGCTGTGCTGATATTATCCATCTTCTTTATAGAGGTCTCTCCTGTTCCCTGAAGATCACAGTTCCCCATAGCTCATATCTAAACCTTTCCAACCAGTCCCGTAACATCATCGGGGACAGATACACTAACACTGCACAGTACTTCATGCTGTGACATACCATAGTTTTACAAAAGGTGAAATTATGTTTCATGTCCACATTGTACAATCATGACACAGTAACAGATTCTCAAAGGTAAAAACAGTAATAGAGATTGCCTCGGCCTTCTTTTGATTATTTTTTAAATATCTATACAGTGCAATTAGTTATAATTTAGAATGTACTTTCACATTAGCTTATTTGATCCTTATAACAACTTTATTAACAAGGCAGGGCAGATATATTTCTTCCCATTTTGTAGATTAGAAGCCAAAAACAAAAAAAGAGGTTTCGATGACATCCCCGAAGTCAAACAGCTAGTTAAACCTGAACTCGGAAATTGGTACTCCTAGTCCATTGCAAGCATCTGAGACACTCCCCACACTAAGGCTCTGCCCCCTTTTACTTGTCCTAATCTTGTGGAACAACTGTAAAATATTAAAACTAAATAGACAAATCTGTTACTTCCAAGATACATTTTATGTTCTACACATTACTTATTATTGACCACAATGCAAAGTAAATTTAATCATGAGTCTCTCCCAAATACTGCTCTTATTACTAGTCTCCATTTTTTTCTTATGTACACCTGTAGCTTTCAGCAAAATCCTTACTTAAAATTTATCAATTCAGAAATATGTTTCTGCGAACATTTTTTTTATCTTCACCCGAGGACATTTTTCCATTTTTTGTTCAGATAGAGAGGAAGAAAGAGAGAGAGAAACATCGATGTGAAAGGGACACACCGAGTGGTTGCCACCCACACAACCCAACCAGGGCTGGGGACAAATTGCAACCGAGGTACATGCCCTTAGTGGGAACCGAACCTGGGTCTCTCTGGACCGCAGGCCGACGCTCTAACTGCTGAGCCAAACCGGCCAGGGCTCTGCGAGCATGTCTAAGGCAGGAAGAAAACAGCTGTAAAAAGAGAGCTTGGACAACATCAGCAGCTTTTTTGTTTGTTTGTTTAAATTAGTTTCCTTACCTCCAAAAAGATGGAATGCTTTTCTTCTGCAGCTTGGTAGGGGCCATTTTGCAGAGCTGGATTTCTGAAAGCTTTGCTTTATCTTCAAATATTCTTTAGTGAAGAATGTTTTTGTGGCATTGTTGAGTTCTACAATAAAGCAAAAGAAAATAGTTTTAAACATTAATTTGAGGAAAATGGCAAGAACATAAAAAATAACTCTTGTATTATTTTGGTGATATATTCAGATCTCTTAAAGACAGTGAAGACAGAAGTAGAGTCAATTTTCTTTTCAAGTCAAGCCAAACATAATCCTCCCCAATCCACATTTGAGACAACTTTGATAAGCCTACACACAGGACATCCATCTGCTGTGGTGCTCTGTCAGACACTGGGCCAGATGTCGAGGACACAGCAATGAAGGAGACAAGACACTTCGTGCCCTCAAGAAGACTGCAGACTAAAAGACGGAAATAAGCAGGTGCACACTCACAAAGGGGGAAAATGTGCTGGGGGGTAGCAAGAGAATAGCTGGAGCAAAATCACGTGAGGCCAGAAGTGATAACGGAAAAACCCTTTTAGAACTCTTTACTCCACAATCTTTTTAACATTTACTAAGTTTAATGCTGCTGGGTTGAGGAAGTTTAAAATAAATAAATAAATACGCAACCTTTCAGAAGCTTGCTAAGGAATTAGAAAAAAATTAATTTCAAGTAAACACAGATCAGAGAGCACACATGGTGGTATTCACTTTCAACAATAGAAAGTCTCTATGTCTGAGCCATGGAATGCAAGGCATGATCTGAGTTGACTATTTGATGGCAAAGTTCTTCTCAGAGAGTCCAGTGCAGAGTTGGTTACTAACTCGAGAAGTTAACTACAGTCTTTCCATCAATGGTCCCCTTATATTTCATCTCACACTTGTTACCTAGAGTATTTCCTTAGTTTCCATCTGCTTCAGGCTCCGAGTTTCTGTTCAAACGAGTTACACTAAATTTTCTCAATTTTTCCTAATTATCCCCTTGGACTGATTCTTACCTATTTACAGGAAAAATGGATGCACAAAGTTTATATTGAACATCAAAAGAAACCGTGTGAAAAATAGACTACTCTAGGTAAGTGAGGTAATGTATTAAACCTACAACACTCTAACTTACCTTCTCCATGTCACACCCAAGAACTAGTAATACAGGCACACAAGTTAGAGAAAAAGTATTTTCATAGTTTGTACACTCATCATGTGTGCTGGGGTTTGGTGAATTTTTTTTTATCCTTTATGTGTTTAAGAGTTAAATCATTTCAGGTTGGATATGCTCGCAGTGTTTTCTGCAGCAATGTACTGTGGTTTTATTAAAGTTCACTTTGCCCACTGCCAGTGAACAGCTCCTTAGTACAAGACAGTCATGGCACCATTATGTGGTTCAATTCAAAGGACTCATCAGTGTCGTTCATACTGATGCAGAGAATAGAAGACGTTATCGAAGGACTCATAACATATTCACTTACAGTAACACTTGTCTTCTTGCAGTCACCTTTGGTAGTGATGACTATAATTCATGGTATTTTCTGACAAACTGAAAATCCCACGAGATAGCGACATTGTGTAATCCTATAATGCCTTTAAAAATGAGTCCAGTGTGGTGGGTAAGTGAATATTTCATGTGGGAGATCATAGAAACCAAGTTGAAGAGTTTGCAGCTTAAGAATTCTTATTCCTCCTCTTTCCTTCTCTCCCCCACAGCCCTCCTTCTTCTGGAGAGCTTGTAGCCATGTTCTAGAATGTTGATGCAATAACCACAGAACACCATTGCACAGCCCTAGTTTACACTGAAAACTTATTTGGAAGTGTAGCTGAATTCTAGTACACCTGACAAAAGGACATTCTTGTAAGAGTCATCCAAAAACTGCAGCTATGATAACTGGCTACAAACCAAACTCCCTAGAGCAGCGGTTCTCAACCTGTGGGTCGTGACCCCTTTGGGGGTCAAACGACCCTTTCACAGGGGTCCCCTAAGACCATCGGAAAACACATATTTCCGACGGACAGTCTTAGGAACCGAGACATGGCTCCTCTATCTGCCTCCAGGCGGGTCTGCCCACATGCAGACACACCCACATACAACATGAGGAACTGTGTTAAAGGGTGGCGGCATCAGGAAGGCTGAGAACCACTGCGGTCTAGAGGGTGGAGTAGATGAGAGAAGTAAAGCAATAACAATGCCTGTGGTATTTCTGTTTCCTAGCTTCAAGGAACTTATTACACGATGTACTTTTAACCTACATTTAACAAACCCATATGATTAATGTACCAAATCAGAAAAGGCTTATACATATAATACCTAACAATTATTAACAGAGAAATTATTAAAATGTGCAAAACAAAAAATGAGATGGCAGTTGTATCTACATTTTGTTGAACATATACACCTGTGTCCATAACATAATCTTTTTTTTTTTTTTTTTTTTTTTTGCATTTATCTTCAGATAGAGCGCTGGGGGTGGGGGGGAGGTGGGAGAGAAACAGCGATGGCCGGGGACAAACTGCGACCGAGGTACATGCTCTTGCGAGAATGGAACCCGGGCCTCTGGTCCATGGACTGACGCTCTAACCGCTGAGCCAAACCGGCTAGGGCCATAACATAATCTTATGTGACCAGCAGTTTTGGAAGATTTTTCTACACTTGAGCTGAAGGGCCTGGGGAGAAAAGAGGACCCAGAAGCGGCCCGTCCCACCATTCTTAGGCCAAATAAGAAGTGGGTTCTAATGCCCCTGAACTGTAGAATCTCCCCAAGTTGCAGATCTTCTCTTTGTACTTGCTTTCCGCACTATCTCCCGCAAACATTTATTTTGTACCTGGTATGTGCCTGGCGCTTTGCTGGTCCAGCTAGGAATATCAAAAAGAATTAAATATAATTGTTGTCTGCAGGGCATTATAACTAGATCAGTGATTCCAAAGTGCCCGTCTGCAGCCTGGCTATGCATCAAAATAATAAAAAACAAATTCTAGGACCGCACACAGATACACTTAAACAGAACTGCTACAGATGTGAGCTAGGAATTTGCTTTCTACAATACAAGCTCCTTGGGTTATTCTGATACAGTATCAGATTTGGTAACCACTGGGTAAAATGATCTCAAATCCTTTACTGCTGTAAAATCATTTGAACTTATTTAAATGTTAAACCTATCTCACTTTCGTGGTAACTCTACAAACCTTATCCAAGGATGCTGTTGCTGCCATAGAACTGTGTTGCCCCAACCTAATGGCATTTTTAAAACTTACAAATGCAGGATTTGACAACAAATAAACCATTCAAACCTATATTTCTCAAAATTATCTGGAAGAAGCACTAAGAAAAGTCTAAAGACAGACCAGGATGTAGGGCTCACAGAAAAATCACTTTTATCTCCACTTCTGCCAATCCTACCTATTAGGGTAGAGATGCTTCTACTTATAATACACATCATAGTGTATTGGATGTAATCAATTATTCATAATGTTGCATATGTTAGAAAAAGACAAAAACCTGAATATCCTAAAAATACTCTAAAGTCTATTCAAATGGTATCTTTAGTTAAATGTGGTGGCAGTACCAATGGTAACAGCAGCGTCTTTGTGTGACACTATCATAAAAATAGTATATGGTGGTTAGAATAGAGGAATTTTAATCTTCGTGATTTAGTGGAGTGCAGGAGTCAATCACCAACTACATACAAACACAATTCACATTATCATAGGATGTATCACCATGAGTTTCACTGTATTACATCATGAACAATAAAATTAGACAACCACATACACAGGATAATTTTGGACTATAGGCAGTGCCAATAAGGTGGTGCAACTTTCATTTCAGCTTTATATGTCAATGTTGGTAAATTTTATATTTAAACAACTCATTATAATTAAGTAAATATTTGTTAACAATAGTTTAAAGCATTCTGCTAAGTGTAAGAGTTAAAACTGTTTACTGCATCGTACCTGCATTATATCCTATCTAGTAAAAAGGTAATCGTAAAGTTACGAGGTAAAGGATTAATTCAGGCCTTGGAGTCTTATTAAGGGGGAGTATAATAAGAGTATTATCTTAAATACAGGGCATAGTCATTTAGGTGGGCCCAGTGGTATTACATTCTAATTTAAAAGACTAGAATATATGTGTCTAGCCACCTCACATTATTAAATGCCTTGTTTACTCATTTAAAATGACTTACTTCTCATTCTTATAAAAGCTCCCCCTCCCAATACCCTTCTGAGTTCTATGTTGTTAGATACATAGTATTTAATTTTTTAAATGACGCAATTGTCAAAAATGATCTATCAAAAAGGAAACCTATAGTATGTTCTAATAACATTTTGAAAAGACTACTTTCTCCAGGAGTTTTGAGTTACAGTTGACCCCTGAACAATATGGGGGTTACAAGTGCTGACCCTTATGCAGTAAAATATCTGTGTATAACTTTTGACTCCCTCCAACATTTAACTACAGTAGTCCCTAGGTATCCATGGGGGATTGGTTTTAGGACCCCTAGCCGATACTAAAATCCATGGATGCTCAAGTCACTTATATAAAATGGTGTAGAGCAATGCATACAATTGGCCCTCTGTATTCACAGATTCCCAACTGAGGATAAAAAAATTCTGTTTTTGATCCATGGTTGGTTGAATCTGCAGATGTGAAACCTGGGGATAGTGAGTAGACCATGTCCTTAAAAAGTTCTCAGAGCAAATGCAGTATCAGGTTTTCTAATATACCCTAGAAGAGAAATCACATGAAAAATTCATTTTAAAGTGCCAGGAAAACCTTTACTTACCTTTAGGAAATGCTATGTTTCTTTTCACGAATTATGAGAATCATTTAATTGTGTACTTAGTTTTATTATTCCTTAAGCAGTCAGGATATTTAAAACCAAACAGTTCATCTAATTGTAGTTACAATTTAGGGCCATATGATTTATTTATCAGCTCATCTACCCTTACCTGGTCTTTATATTTCATTTCTATGAATAAGTTCCCTTGTCCTGCTATTTCATTGATTGCATCTTTTAAAACACCTCAAATCCTTTTGGGTAGGGTATAAATAATTAAGTAGGATAGTCTATTATTGTCAACTTCTAAATTATAGTGCACAACCAAATACTTATTCCCAATATGATTTTAGAAGAACTGATTTGGAAAATATGACATGATTATTTTGATAAATGAATCAAGAGAGACTTGAGTCATTATTGATTTAAGATGTTAAGAAAAGCAACTTTAAAATAAAATAACTATCATTGTTTCCCAGATGGTGTGGCTCAGTGACTGAGCATTGACCCAAGCACCAAGAGGTCGCTGGTTCGATTCCCGGTCAGGACACATGCCCAGGTTGTGGGCCTGATCCTCCGTGGGGGGCATGCAGAAAGTGGCCAATCAATGCTCTCTTGTTTATTCTTGAATGAAGAAGAAAGACCTTAACAACAATAAGAAGGTTGAGAAGATTTGGAGTATGAGGGAAGGCATAATAGTTTTTCTTGGACAGTTACAGATGTACTCTCTGAGACTCCAGAAAATAACAAGGGACAAAGAATGAGTAGTAGTGGAAGGCACACCCGAGGAATAAACTAACAACGGGGCTGTTTCAAATTTCAATGGAATACCCTTGACAGCAGAGAAGTAAAGACTGAACAACAACTACTTAGGATGTTTTAGAAAAGACCTCAGCATAGAGTAAGGGATTCTGATGAGAACCTATTCTTCCCTATGATTCTATAATTTCAACACAGCTCTATGAATTGGACAGGCACCATATTATAAACCGGAGTAACAAATTATGTTATGCCGTATATGATTTTCAATATCTTTCTCATAACAATTTATAAAATACCTTTAGACCTGGAACAAAGAGTTAGTCAGAACAACCAGGCAGTCATGCTAACGGAGGGGAACAGTTACCTGTCTGGAAAAAGACTCTGGAAATAATCGTTCGACACAGTGGGCAGGGAGTGCTTGCAGGATTGTCTTTGGCAAGAGTCCGTAAGCAGGGCTCACAGAAGATGTGGTGGCAAGGGTAACACATGTACGGGTTGAAATAAACATCCAGACACACTGCACAGATGTAGCTTTCCTTTTCTTCTACATATTCATTTTCATCATCTGTATTCATGTCATTAGTCAAAGTCTGCAAAACATAAGCAAAACCAATTTCTCTTAGTTCAGTATGAGATTAGTTTCCTTGATAAAGAGAGATTGACTTTATATTTTGTTAAAATGAATGAAAATATTTATGAAAAGCACATAATATCTGTTTCTGTGACATATTCAAACTGACAGAAGTACTACCTTGCAAAGTGAGAAGAAACTGAAGACACACATGAAAAAACCCAGAAGTCTTAATTATTCTTTTTCTATAATGCTAACTGCTAAAATATACCTAAGCACATCAAGCACGCCTATATCTCTACTTAGCCAGCACCAGTTGGTAAGTATTAGGTGTACCAGTCCCAGGATTACAGATTCCCCATCTAGCCCACTCCCACCACAGCACATAAACCGTCACAAGCTATGAAGCCTCTTATGGGCATCCACACACGATGAGAAGTGAAGACAAGAGATACTGTATTTCATCATTCTATCGTGCATGGAGTGTTCTCTGTTCTGTACTTTGTACCTTCCTGGGCCTCGAAGCCAAGACAAGGCCCAAGTCTAAGGTAAGTCAGGAAGTAGACAAGGCAAAGAAACTTGCTCTAATTCTGGGATCAGCCATGCACCTGGGAAACAGGATTACTGTGCCTTCCTGCTCCCCACCACAGGGTAATGAGAAAGAAGCTAATAAGAGGCAGTTATGAAAGAGGCAGCTCAGAGGTTAACAGCCCCAGGTCTGGTAGCAGAATTCCTGTTACTTAATTAATCTCACAATTTCCTCTCTGTGAGGATGTTGTGAGGATTAAGTGAGGTAATCCACTTAAAGTGTTTAGCACAGTGCTGGCACAGAGTAAATATTCAATCAATGTTAGCCTCAGCCGCCTCCTCCTCTCCCTCCCAATCCCTTCTCCATACCCATCTTTCCAGGCCCTGTAGTTTCTGCCAGAATCTTGAGAATCATTTCCTCAAACCAGGCCTGGCCTCAGTCCACTGAGGCATAATGGGAATCTACACTTAGATGTTTGTGAAAATGAAGATCAATGATTAACATTTGAGTGGGCCTTGGGTTTAATAAATAGTAGAATGTTACATAAAATGTAAAAGTTATGTAAATGAGGCCAACAGAGCCTTGAAAATACAGAAAAGCATTTCCACTTGATACACTATTATTTGATTTATCCAGATGGCTTTGCTTCCCCTCTGCCAGTCTCTTTCTGATACTTGCTGAAAATTTCTCTCTTATGAAGGACTTATTTGAATCTTTTGTCCATTTATTTTTAATTGGATTGCCTGATTTTTCCTATAGACTTGTACGTATTTTTACTTTAGTTATTTTTTATGGGTTAGATGTGTTGCAAATATATTTTACCTTCTTTTTCTGGTTTGCCTTTTCATTCTTTTCATGGTGTCTTTTGATGAAATAAAGTCCTTAATTTTAAAGAATGTTTTTCTTTTATGGTTAGTGCTTTTGGTGGCTTTATTTCATCATAGTTAATAATCCTATAATATTCTTGAAATTGATTTTCATGGGTGGTGTGCTTAAGGGGTAAATTTCATTTTCACTCTTCATGTAATTCTTAATGGGTACAATCCTTTTATTGCAAAGATTTCCTTTTCTCCATTGCTCTGCAGTGCCATGCTATTGTTAACAAAAAGGCCAGATAAGCCCGAGTCGGCTTTTAAGGCTTTCTTTTGTTCTATTCGTTTCCTGCCCATTCCTAGGCCACAATAAGAATCTCTTACTGCAGCTTTATATTAAGCCTCAATATCTGGTAAAGGAAGTTCTTTCATATTATTGCTATTCTTTAAGAGTGTCTTGGCCTCTTCTCTGGCCATATAAAATTTGGAATTACCTTATCTAGTTCTTTTTAAAAAGTCAGAGTTTTTATTCAAACAGCATTGAACTTGCAGATAAATTTAGGAAGAGTGAGAAATCTTTACAAATAGAATTGTAAAGCACATGATCTTGGTTTCTCCCTCCATTTATTAAAAATTTTCAAAAATTATCTTGGTAGAGTTTTGCATATATTTGAATGCGTACTTTGTCTCCACTTTGATTAATTCCTGTTAATATACATGGCATGCTCCAATAGCATTCACATCGAAACAAACACATGTAAAGCCCCAGACCTCTCCAGCAAAGCTTCACAAGAGACTTGATTGTACTGCATCTTGGTTCTGCTTCCTCGCCTCCTAGTCATGCTTCAACTTGCTCTAACCTGGCTTCTGCTCTCAATACTCTGCCAAACCGTTCTGGTACAGATCACTAACAATCTCTGTGCCTCCAGATCCAGGATGCACGGCTGATCTATGTTCCTCGACCTTTCAGCAACATTTCCTAAGTAGACCAGGACCTCTTTCTGCCTACTTAATGCCTCTGTCTTATATTTGAAATAAATAAATTAATATTTGATTACCTTTGAAAAGAAAAAGCACCAGGCCCAAATGGGTTCACTGGTAAAGTCTACCAAACATTTAAGGAAGAGATTCTACCAATTCTCAACAATCTCTTTGAGCAGACAGAAGTAGAAGGAATGTTTTCTAACTCATTCTATGAGGCCAGCATTACCTTAATACTAAAACCAGATTCAAAAGAAAACTTACAAGAAAACTATAGCTCAATATCCCTCATGACATAACTGCAAAAGTTCTAAAAAAAATTAACAAATTAAATACAACAATGCATAAAAAAAATTATATACCATGACCAAGTATATTTTACTAAGTGAAAGAAGCAAACCAGACTGAAAAAGAGGATGAAGTTTTTCCTTCCCTCTGAGAGACACACACAGTGATGTGTTCCAGATTCCATTCAGAAAGATATACACCTTTCTGTGGATTTGCCACCAGGTATAGGGAAACATAGTGTGTTCAAAGGTAAGTTAACTTTTCCCTTGAATCTGCACCTCATCAAAAATCTTAGACCCTGTTACCTCAGTCCAATCATTATTCACCCAAGAAATAAGCTTAGCTATCAGATTTTTCCTTGATCTTCACTTTCTAAATCTCATCAACAATAAGTTCGTACAGATAACACTTGCTGAACAGCTCTATGTGTTACTCCCCTTCTCTCTTCCCATTGCCACTGCCTCAGTTCAGCCCCACTGTCTCCTGGGTGAACAGTCTCGTCTTCCACAGTCCACACAGCTCATGCTCTGTACTGCCGCCAGACAGATCTTTCTAAATGGAATCTGGAATACATCACTGTGTGTATCTCTAAGGGGGGAGGAAAAACTTCACCCTCTTTTTCGGTCTGGAGAAGCCTCAATTCAGCCTCAGGTAAAGGATTTACAGTTCAGGTAAGTCAGTTCACGGGTGACTGACCAAGCCATGTTACTAACTGGTGGGTGAGGTCACTATGTTGAAAAAGCAGGCCCTCCCATCATCTCCTCTCCTTTTTTCATATTATAATGTTCAGAAATATGGCACTTTTAGGCTGAGAGGCCAGCTGGTTGGTATGTAAGAAGTTTGACTTTGGAGCTCCATTTTCTATTTAAATAAGCATCACATGCTTATGGTAGCAAATGAAACAATACAATGTAATCACTTTTAAAGGCAAAGTGAACTGTGGCAGACACTATTGGTTGGATAATCCAGTACTTCTCCCAACCCTCATTTCCTTTATAAGAACCATCATCTATTATGTAACCCAGAAAACATAAATAGTTTTTTACCTAGGCTTTCTTATAGCTAGAGTCAGCCCAGTTTGGGCCAATGAGACATAAGGAAGGCATTCTGACCGTCTGTGGAAAAGCTTTGGATTTCCCAATGAAAAGGGCAAAGATAGCTAATACCATCCTTTTCCTTTCTTTGAACAACATGATCCTGATATCTGAATCTGTGTCAGCTCTCTTGCAGGTGAGGCAACGTGCGTGAGAACAGAGGAAAGTGGAGGGAAAATTAGAGTCTGCATCACTGATTGCAGAAATTGACTCTCTAGACTTACTGTATGAGAAAGGTAATCGCTCCTCCAGTCAGTCAAGTTTCTTTTGTTTACATTGTCTCTGTGCTGTGGGTGGCTGCTTTTGTGCCGCCACAGCAGAACTAAGTAGGTGACAGAGACCATATGATCAGCAAAACCTACAGTAGAGACCATTACTTGCTAGCCTGAGAAGTTCCATTATGTTCCTGAATACAGCACTGCTAATTTCCATCACAATCAACAAATATTTACTGAGTGAGCTAATAAGCATTATTTCAGTCCTTCTTAGTCTGCTCAGGCTGCAATAAGAAAATATCATAGAGTGGGTAACTTAATCAGCAGATATTTATTTCTACCTTGAAGCTGGGAATCCAAGATCAGGGTGCCAAACGTGGTGGAGTCCGGATGAAAGCTCCTCCCCAACTGCGGATGGCCGCACCCTGTGTGTGCTCACATGGCCTTTCCTCTGCACCCAGATCTCTCTCTCTCTCCCCCCCTTTTCTTAGACGGCCAGAAACCCTATGTATTCACCTCCCCGCCATATGACCTCATTTAATCTTAATTATCTCCTAAAAACTCTATCTTCAAATACAGTCACAGTGGGGGTTAGAGTTTCAACATATGAATTTGGAAAGGACATGATTCAGTCCATTGCAGGGGTAAACAAGGCAGTAGGAATACTGCAGCGAACATATCAAGCAAGTAAGGCCTATTAACTAGTTCTTTAAAAAAGAAGAAAAATGTGAAGGAAAGATATTTACAAGAATGTGAGTGCTGAGTGGCAGAAAGAGGCAGTAATGAAGGAATGGGCTATAAAGGGCCTGAACCAGAGTAGTTGCCTTGAAAACTTAAGACAGTTTGAAATCAAAATCAGCAGGAGCTCATTTTCATTTTGGTGGAGGAAGATGGTTTTATTTTTTTATTTTTTATTTTTTTTAATCCTCACCCGAGGATATTTTTTCCATTTTTTTGTACAGATAGAGTGGGAGGGAGGGAGAGGAAGGGAGAGAGAGAGAGAAACATTGACGTGAAGGGACACATCAAGTGGCTGCCACCCGCACGACCAACCAAGGCCGGGGACAAACTGCAACCAAAGTACGTGCCCTTAGCGGGAA